ATTCTAGTTACCAATATTCTCTGGACCTTTATGGATCTCTGCAAATCCCACTCCACAAGGTCCTTTATGTTCAACTTCTTCACTGATATTTCATCTCCCTAGTCTTAAAAACAAAAAACAAACAACAACAACAAAACATGTCTCTGACCTGGAAAACTTGCTTCTTAGAAAACTCTGAAGAAGCTCTTAGTTCGTTCATGTTCCAGGCACTTGAAGACGAGTCTGTTTTCTTCCTTATCCTAAATCTAGATCACCACTCTACTTTTTATCTATTTATTTTTATTTTATGTGTCTGAGTGTTATGCCTGCATGTATGTAAGTGTGCCTGTGTCATGCAGTGCTCACGGAGGACAGAAGAGGGCATCAGATTCCCATGGAACTGGAGTTACAGTCAGTTGTTAGCCGCCATGTGGGTGCTGGGATTTGAACTGGGTCTTCTGCCAGTGCTCTTAACCACTGAGCCATCTCTCCAGTCCCCAACCACTCTACTTTAATAATCATGTCTGTCTTACTTATCTAAAATATAAACATCTTTATATAATATATCAGCATTCTAGTGTTTTCTTTTGCAATCCTAAATTCTACCACTGTTCTGTTACTTCAACACTCATTCAAGTATCATTCAAAATTCTGATCTCTCCATTCTTTAGGCCATTCATTTCTAATCCATTCCCTTTCACATGGCTTCAGGGACCTACTCTCCCACCTTAGAATTTATCATTGTCTAGAATTGCTTTTTTCAACAAGATCTGATCAGTAACATGGGTTTGCTTCCCAGTACCACCAATAATCAAAACAAGAAAAAATCTGATCAATAATGACAATTCTGATGTATTATTATCTGGCCATACTTTCTTTTTTTAAAGCATTTTTTTTTTACCCAAGAAAGCAATAAAATCAAAGAACAAGTTAACCACAAATGACTTCTCTGTTTTCTCCTAATCTTTTTTTTCTCTTTTCTACTTTTTGTAATCTTAAAAAATATTATATAGCCACCTTCTTACTAATATTCTAAAGTCTTCTAACCAATCTAAAAATAACAAGAGGTGTGGTAGCATATAGGTTTTATCTTAGCATTGGGGTGCAGAGGCAGGCCAGTATCTGTGGGTTTGAGTCCAGCCTGATCTACATAGCAAGATCCAGTCCAGTTAGGGCTACATGGTGAGACCCCTTCTAAACAAACAAACAAATAGACTTACAAAAAGGACTTACAAAAAATGTATTTATTTGGAAACAAATGAGAAAACACTGTAATCCATAATTACGACTGTCATGACAGAACATACAGGGTGGTCGTGGGCATATCCAAAGCGGCAAAGAATAGAAAGGTTTCGAAGGTAAGAGAAATTACACAAGTTGTTATGAAACAATTGTCTTTAGTCAGAATTCATAAAAAGGTAGTATCAATAGAAGGTTGCATAGACAGTTGCTAGGCAGATCTCCTTGCAGAAGGATTCTTGTGCAAGGTCTGTGTGGTCTATACATAAGATTGTGGTTTTTCAGAGTCCTTATAATAATAATTTATTTTTGTTTTATGTGTATGTGTTTTTCCTGCATGTATGTAAGAACACCTATTCACACAATACCCACAGAGGCTAGAAGAGGGTGTAGGGATACCCAGGAACTGGAGTTACAAATGGATGTTAGCAGGCATGTGGCTGCTGAGAACTGAACCCAAGTCCTCTGCAATAGCAGCCAGTACTCAACAGTTGAGCCATCTCTCCAGCAACTATAAATAATATTTTTAATTGGCATATATTCATTGTACATAGTACTAGGCTTCATGAGAACATTTTCATACTAATATAAAATGGAATTTTGAGTATAATACCTCCCATACTCCCTTTTTCCTTCCTCTCACTCCCATTAGTCCCCTTTGTTCTACTAGTTTTGCTTCTACTTTCATGCCATATGTGCATATATGCTTTTATGTATCTATATAAAATCTAGGA